GTGAAGCATCACTGCTTTGGGGCGGGAGGGGGGCTGGATCCTCTCCTTGCAAACCACCTTCACCCACCGTGCTGGGGAATCCTGGAGGGACAAAACCCCTGTGAGGGGGAAGGTGCTTTGTCAGGTGGTGGGTGCCTTGGTGCAACTAAATTTGCTTAAATCACTTTATGGGGGCCCCTGGAGCTGACACCTGCTCCCCAAATATCTCCTGTCCATAGCCAAGTGCTGCCCCAGATGCTCTGTATTTGGTAAATGAGGGTTATTTATAGCCCTGGCTAATGGGGATTAGGTGTGCTGTGCCTAATTCCCACTGACCTCCATCCCAGCACAGCCCCTTGCTTTCGATGGGAGCCTTTTGCGTGGGTGGGAGGAGATGGAGATGCAGAGCCAGGCTGCCTGCCCGCCCATCCCTGTGTCCCCTGTCCTGTCTCAGGTCCCCCAAGACACCCACTGGGACACGAGCCAGTGCCGGGGGTCATTCCTGGCTGAGGTCCCTATGGCACGGCATGGCTTGTCCCTCTGTGTCAGTGTGGTCCATGATTTCAGGGAAATGCTGGCATCATGTCCCTCATCCCAGGGGCTTGCACACAACCGCCTGTCCCAGTGCTGACACTCTCCTGTCTGTCTGCTAACACCCCTTTCTGTTTTCCTCCCTCCGCCTTCCCTGGGGGGGAGCTGCCCCCTGGTAAGTCAGTGCATGTACCTGTCCCCAGAGCAGATCCTTGCTCCCACGCGGGGCTGGGGCAAAGCCTGCCCGTATTTTGGAAAGGGAGCTGGTACTGTATGAGCAGGGGTTACCTTCCAAAGGGAAAAGGGATTTAAGGCTGGCGCCATCTCCACAGCACCGTCCACATGGGCAGAAGGTGAAGAAGAAGCGGCAGGGGGCCCCGCCGGAGCCGGCTACGGGCAAAGAAGTTGGGCGAGGCAGGGGCTGCGGAGGAGCCCCACGCCCCAGTGCAGGGTAAGGATGGACACTCCCCCCATACGCAGCTCCCATGGAAATGCGAGGACATGCTGGTCCCCCCCCACAGCTGCATCCTGCACCTGCGGTGCTCTGCAATGTGGGTGTTGCTTGAAACATATAGGGGTGAAGAAGCTGAGGAAGAAGAAGGAGGAGAAGGGGGAGGAGGAGACCGACAAGGACCTCTACTCCAAATTCACCAGGGAGCCCCGGAAGAAGAAGGAGAGCCCGGTCCCTCGCTTCCACGTGGCCAAGGGCCCCAAGAAGCAGCAAGGTGGGGGGGGCAGCACCCACTTGTGGCACCTTGTGTCCCTGTGCGCCATGTCCTCATGCACCACATCCCCGTGCACCGTGTCCCACTGGTGCCATCGATGCTCCCAGTGTTTGTAGGGGTTCTGTATGCCCCTGGAGGGCTTTTTGGCCAAAACCCAGCTAAGCACCCAGGAGGAAAGTGGATGTGGCAGGGGAGCTGCATGCGTGGCGTTGGCTGGGGAGTCAGGATTCAGGGGGACACATTCCCTGGGAACGTGGCAGTCAGCAGCTGGCTGGTGCCCTCAGCTCCCTGGCCATCTTTCTGGAGCAAAAAGATGGGGTGGGCAAAAAGATGGGGCTTCTCCCCC